TAGGTGGACTCATTGGTAGGTATAAATTGTTTTTTAGTTTTGGCCAATATTTTTTTACCGATGTGCAGATCTTTCGTTTTACATTAAATGTGAATTATATACTGCTAAAAAAGAATTTGTACTTCTGTCATTGAACAAATTTTAAATGTTTTTGGCACTAACTATTTCAAAGGTTGATTTTTCATCCATTTTCCTAATTTTTTTTGTTTAATTTAATTATCTAGCCTCTCTTAAAAAAGCAGAATTTTTTTTTCTGATTTTTTGGGAGAAAATCCGGCATGAGAAAAAGCTAAAATATTGTATGGAGAGCGTACGAAAAAGGAGAGTGGATTATGGATATAAAATTCTGGAAGTGCAAGCGGGTCCCGATGGCAGAGAGACCTGTGCCTCGTTCCCACGCATGACATAGAGAAGCGCGCACTCGTGGCGCGTGGAACAAAAGAGAATGCAGAGTGCTGAAATCAGGTGCGGCAACCATCACAAAAGCAAACATGAACGCATCATCTCATGGCCTGCCACGTGTAGGAAGCCAAATGAAATTGTGATCACAGATGCTGATGATCATTCAACTAAGCTTAATGGACAAACATGGCATGCTCTAGGTAACAGAGGAAAGGAGACACAGGAAACAAAGGCGAAAAGGAGAAGGCAATTAGTGATTAATTAATGGGTCAAAGTGCAAAAGGAGAAAATTATAGAGAGAAGACGGTAAAATAATGAGTGGGTCAAGGGTTTCTTAAAAAGAAGGGGTTTGAATGCAGACTTGCCACTTCACTACCAGACAAAACTTCTATTAATATCACATGATGTAACCAACAACGCTTCCTTTCTTTTTCTCTCTCTTTTTTTTTAAATTAAAAAATTCATTTTGATGAATCACTCAACACTCCATAGGGTCTTTTGAGACATTTCACTTTTCGGCCGTCTAGACATTAGCCAATATATCTAAAGTCTTAATGTTTTATTTTTATTGCCCTCAAGAGAATTTTTTTTTTAAAAAAAAAAAGTTATCAATCATAAGACTCTTACCTTGTGATTTTTTATACATTTTTTGAGGAATTTCACACGGGGGGCCATACTTTGTGTATGTGTTGGTTACATAAATATAAATAACCTAAACAGTTGGAAAAAATACGCAACAATTTAAAATCAATATACATCATCCTAATTTTTTATATAAGCCATTTGTAATGTATTTTCGCATGTCAATCAATACATTAAGTTGACAAAATTTTAAATTTTACATTTATTAAAGTTTTCTCTCTCTAAATTTAGAAATCATTCCCATACTTATTCATCCTTTATCTATTTTCAATAAAAATTAAATAAGGATGAAATTGAAAAATAAACATTGAATGTATTACAAGTTACTTTACATTTAAGACCAAAACTTTTTCATACAAATAACTTATATTTAGAACCAAAATATGATACATATATATTAGATATTTTCTTCATTTATAAACAAGTAGTAGTAGAATTGGTTTTGGCTAATATAATATTTGGTCTTTCAAATTTACTTTTATTTTGATTTTGGTCTCTCAAAGTTCAAACCATAGTTTTTAGTCTTTTAAAGGGTATAATCGTTCAAATTTTTATTAGATTATAGGACCAATATTATAAATGAAAAGAAACTTGAGAAACTAAAACATATGATTTAAAACTTGAATGACCAAAATTAAAATAAAAACAAATTTAAAATGCTAAAATTTGTATCAACCCCGATAGTTTTATGAAGGATTTATGGAGGAATGGGGCAGGGGAGGCCAAGTTGTAAGGGAAGGTGGTCCATTGATGTACTTGGGTGACACAGACCTCATCTATGGCTTGTAAGGTTTCAATGCCATTTTGCCCCACAAACCCCTCTCCGTCCATTATTCTCCAATTATGCATTTATATTCATGTGCCCTTCCCTCTCAACTTTTAACACTAACAACTAATTCCATACTATTTTTAAAATAAAAATTATCTGCAATTCGATTCATCTCAAATTCTATGCAAAATACCAATTCACAATATGGTTGTTTATAATCTTGTAATGAGTGAAATTTAGTTATAAATTTCATATATATTTGATATTCATATTAGCTTCATGCCGTTCCTAAGAGGCAAAATTAAGTCATTTAAATGTCGTTTTTCTTAAAATTAATTTTATGAAAAGCTAAAGGTGCTTAGTTGTGACTCTCCCAACTTGTCACCTCGTTTCAACCACAAATGTCTCAATCTACATGAATGAATGAAAGTGAGGCTTTTGTGAAACATGTTAAAACACTAGAGCATGTCATTTCAACATATTTATTTTTAAACAACTGTTCTATATCTAGCACAACCGATTGATATAGATTAGATCATTATTAGGCTTAAATAAAGATAATTTTTAATATCGTAAAGTTTGAATTTTCAATCTTAAAAGATATTAAATTCATGTCAATAAACTTAGTTAATAACGATGATTTTTACATTTTACTATGACTATTTGATTAGATCAGAATCAGAAATAACTTTTTTAAAGATATTTTCTATATCTACGCGTACCCAAAGCTTTAAACATGGGGGAGAGCCTCTTGGACATTTTGATCATATGCAATATAATGCATTGTGAGTGGATGATGTTTAAGATAAATACGAGACATTGTCACCATCGGCGCATGCATTAAAGTGCACTTCTCAATACTAAAGTTTCACAACAACACGTGTACATGATATGAGGTTGTCGGGTTTTAGTTACACACACACACACACACACACAGAGTAGTATATATCAATTAATTGCTCTCTTTAGTGCCTCTCACGGTAAACCGATAACTAATTTTCAAGAATAAGAAATATAATTAAAAATAGTTGGATTAATAAACATGTTAAAAATAATTTAAAAAAAAAACCGTCATTCAATAATTGGTTAATACTACTTTCGGTTCTAATTATAAAAGCTAGTTGACTAATTTGAGAAGATTAAAGAAATAAGTTAAGTTAGTTATTTGTAATAAATAAGTGTTATCTTTCTTAAAATATCTTTACTAATCAAGTTTATTGGTTAGAACTATCATTATTAGAAGGACTACTTTAGGTAAAAATGTATAAATATGAGAGATAAAGTGGATTGAGTTCTTATAATTAAGACCAAATTAAAAGTCAAATGAGGTCTTATATTAAGGACCGGAGGTAGTATAAAAGAAAAATTTTCATAAATTTTTTATTAAAATTTTTTAAATAAGATGTTATTATTTCTTATAAATAGGACTGTATATGGGGAAATTATAATTCAAAAATTATCCTAATTTTTTTAATAGAAAAAATAGGGGAAAGTATAGTTCAAAAATTAGAAAAAATTATAATTAAAAAAAAAAAGTTGGTGCCTTTTTGTTTTTGACCAGAAGTTGGTGCCTAACAAGTAGCAAGGTCAAGAGGATCATGGCCTAGAGGCCAGTACTAAGGAGCAACTCAGCATATCTTTGTCCTCATAATTCATCATTTTAATTTTTCAATATTACACATTTCTTGACAACATTTCACTGTATATGACCATCATATCACCACATTCCAAGTCAAACGTTAGGATAAAAAAAACATTTGACTAAGTACTTACAGATTAAAAGTCAACATCATCCCAGAAATTTCTGAACTATATATATATATATATTGATTAGATATTTATTCATATTCATGAACAATTGAAAAACTCCAAAGCTTCCACTTTCTGTGATACAGTGAGAACCCAGAAAAAGAAAAGAAAGGCACTGTTCATCTATTATCAAACCACAGTGGAATGAACAAACCCTGTTTAAGTTCGAAGAAAGAGAAAGATAGGGGTGCCTGTCTCTTGCCTCTTAGGATCTTCTTATCCTCTCTAATTTGTGTGTTTGATTTGAAATGTTTATCGGACTCGCATGATTCTTCGCCATCTTTGCCAGCTTCCATGGCATATACATAGCTTTCAGATATCAATAATGAAGAAGCTATAAAGTGAGTCATCTCTCGTTAAGTTCGTGAGTTGTCTCTGAATCATAAAAAGTAGTGTGTGGAGTCGGCTTCAGTTAGTTTTAAGAAGAGAACGTTGGAATCGCACTCATCAAATTTGGTTAAGAGATTGATAGCAACTAAATAGTTTATTACTTTTTTTTTTTTAATGAAGAGAGTTTATTCGTTCACTAATGAGACTGAAAAAACGTATAGGAGATGTGCAAATTGGTTGGTTGGCCTCACAAGTTTCTATTCTGGACGGTCCTTTTGTTTGCTTCACTAATCCTCTCTTACGTTGCAAGAGGTTGATTGGCTTGGATAAGCAGATTTTTCCCTTTTAGCCTTTTTGTTATTTTTATTTTTAATTTTTTTAAAAAAATGTTTAGGATAGTTAGCTTGCTAAAATACTCCTAAGATCTGGCCCAATGAACCACTGAACCCATCCTTAGGGAGTATTTGGAAAACTGTAAAAATATTTTTTAAAAGTACTTTTCTACGGATCAAAACAAAATTCTCCACATATTTACTTCTTATATCGTAAAATCACTTCTAAAACTATAATTTTGTTTCCATACAAACACCCCCTTAATATATATATTCTAAGAAATCATTACACAATGTGATTTTCAAAACAAATCAAAATATATTTGAATAATCCCATTTAAAATTGAATCATTTACCCTCCCATCAATTGAATGTTATATAAACTTATAATATAATCAAGTTTGGTTTGAAGTGTACTTTTTAATACTACATATGTTAACAAGATTTAAAAAAAAAAAAAACACAGGCCAATGTTACGATCTTCGTTGTGCTTACAGAGACACCAAAGGTTATATGGCACAGTGACAGTAAGCCCTCCTCGTAAAAAGAGAGGTCGCTTCTCCAAACCCCAAGTAGTGCAAAAGTGTGCGGGAATGTCTGTTAGGTTACCCTAGCCTATAAGAAAGGGTTATTAGGATAGGGATGACGCTTTAGATAAAGAACAAGTTAGAAAGAATATACTGTAAAAGACCTAAACCACTGTTGAGACTTGAGAGTGGTTTTAAAATAGAAGCAAGGAATAACCTACCCCTATTCATTAAACTTAGAAGTCACAACCAATCATTTAAATATTAGCATATTTAAACCACCTCATCCAACCACACCTAAAACCAACCTTCCAAAGTGACCAACACGCTTTTACTAGTCCTCACTTCCTACAAAAGCTTACTTTTAAATGCCTGTGTGTGTGGGTAATGCCCCACAAGACTCAACACCGTTGCCAATTGAAGCCATTCCAATTCTAACTTCGTTAAGGAAAAGGGATCGCAAGAAAATTTGCTTGCTGCAAAATTAGAAACAAAAATTAACAACTAATATGTATCATGTCTTAGAAGGATTTAGAAGGTGATGACCAAAATGTATAATCTCTCTCTTCCTTTCAGTTTCCAGGGTTCATATAAAGCATGAGAAACGCATTTACAAGCATCATGCGCAGAAAGGTATTTCCCCAGCAAGTTAACTGTCCGAAGAAAAAACGGGCGCATGAAAAATTGAACCTCAAAGGGAGAACAAGGCAAGGAAACATGCCTTAAATCATTTTCCTTCGGCCAGATTCTGATTCGAAACTACTGGAACACTGCTTGTAACAACATTGCTGGGAAATGCAGTACCACTGAGCGGAACACTGCTGGGAAATGCCGTACCAGCGGGGGAACACTGCTGGTAACAACACTGGGGGTAAATGCAGCACCACTTGGGCGGATAACAGTGTTTCCTCCGGTCATATCATTGGCTACTTCAGCTTTTCTCTGATCCACATTCATAGTTTGTGGGGCTAAAGTAACAGTAGCTTGCAAAACTTGTGGGGCAATGGCAATGTTTGCACTCTGCTGTTTTGGCACCGTTTCAGCTGAGCTTGTTACCCTGACAGCATAAGCAGGCATTAAGTCCATGCTGGTCTTTTGCTGGTCCACAGGTGCTGCCTCATTCATAGCGTGAAGTTGTTGCAACCTGTAATCAGTCTCGGGCCTACGACAAACCTTCCTAAGTGGAACAATTTCCTGCCAAACCCAACTTCGATGAGTCAAAAAAATATATCAAATAAGAGGAGCTTGTAAAACATTGACAAGTCGAGGTAGTAGGTTATCTATCAGTGACATCTCCGCACAATAAAAAACAAGAGGACAGAGAATATCACACTGATCTGGTGATATTTACTATTATCATTTTTGTAATTATAAACATAGTTGGAGAGAAAGCTACGAGTTAGAAAGAAGACCAACTGAGAACACTACCACTTGGCAATTACGGACAGCTAGTTGTTATAAATAAATTTTCGGTCTTGGTCAAGCAAACACATCAATATAGTTTTCTTAAGTATGTACAGCCAATGCCTCATTGTGATTCACTGATTTACAGTCATTCCGCATTCCACGATAATCTCCAGACAATAATGCCAATCCGAACTTGACATCAAATCAGAAAACAGGGCCTTAATATGGCCACATAATCAGAAAAAGAAAAGTAGGGTACCTCACATCTATCTGATTGGAAATATTCAGGAATCATTTTAATACAACAATCACAGTGTGACATATAAAGACCCATGATGGAACTGGAGTGCAAATGACTTTTTGTTAGTGGTTAAAAGTTATACATCTAGAAAATACTTGTAGAGGTGTTCCCACTATAAAATTACAGGAGGTAATACCTACAACAGATTAGATAAGGCCCTTGGCTACATATTATAGAGTTCAAGGATGTAAGATAAAGTGGCCGGGTCCAATCATGAAAAGATGAATGCCACAGCAGTACATAATAATCATATTGCATACCTCTGATTGATCATGATCATAACGGACCAGAAATCTACAACGGCAGCCTCTAACATCATGCCTCCGTCTTTGAGCATCAAGGACATGAGCATCGAAATAAAGAGCCTGCTCCTTACCTTCCTACATGTTGCAAAACCAGAACTTCAGAGAAAGAATTTGGGGGGGGGGGGGGTTATGAAAAGGAAAGGGAGTGAAAATGGTCAAAATCATATCAATGTTTTCACTTGGCAACTGGCTACCAATATCCCACCTGAAAACACAGTATGAGATCCCCTGGGAGAACTGCCACACATTCTGATGATTCACATGGCAGAGAGCGTGGCCGGATATTTTTTCGCACATTAATCCACTCATCTTCCTCAGATCCAAAACCAGCAAATCTGACCATAACTTCCTGGAACAAAGAAGATATTATTGGAATGATCATATAGGTAGAGCCCAAAGCAATATAAGATGAAAAGCATGACAAAGTATTCCCATTCTTTCAAAAATTTAAGGGCAAAAAATTAGAGATATTTACAGCACAATTATGAGTGGCCTAGAACTGACAGCCAAAGCAATTTTATTCCTGTAAATACAAACCACTATAGCCTACTATAGCAATAAAATGTGGGTTAAAACTGTCACTCAGAAGTACATTCATCAGTCATCCAACCAGCAAAAGAAGAGGATAAAAAATATCAAACAGCTGGCACTGCAAACAAGTGGTTCACCCAAAACGAATGACTGTTTATGACTTCATGATGCAGATATTTAGTTCATTCTAATTTGATTTTCATCACTGCAATAGTTTGACAGAAGCAAAACCAACACTTTTGACCGCCTATAAACATCTTACAAGTACAACCTCATCAAGCAACGCCACAACTGGTATGAAAATGCATATGAAAATGGATCGGTTGAAAAGTCACCAAATCAGCAATATATCGTTAGTTATTAGTTAAGAAAGAAAAAAGAACAAAACCTAGATGGCAACCCTGCAAAGGCCCTACTAATTCTTTTAAATAAATTAACTGATAACAATTCATCCTCAAATTACCGGATCACTGGATTCCAAATGCCTGTGGGATAGAAAGTTTGCAACATCGTACCTTATCAACAAAAGAACAAAAGTCAGGTCTGCATATCTAAGATCGTAAAGTTTTTTTTCGTTTTTCTTTTTTTTTGGGGGGGGGGGGGTAACAAAAGAATATTGTAGACATGAATGGTGAGAAATATTACCATGCTCCATCCCTTCCAGACTTAGCTTCAAACTCCATTGCTGAGTTTTCCGGAGCACTTTTTACAGTTGAAACTGGGAACGAAATGAATAAATGCATAATATGACATGAGAGCACAAACATTCTAGATAGGCTGTAAAAAAACAATTGAGGCCACAATACGAAGTGAGACAATATTTCATGATCCAGGTTTCTCTATCACAATTCAAGACTTCAAACAGCCAAGAAGAAATTGGTATTCCAGCCAGGAACTTCATCAGCGTGCAAGTTGTCTTGCTTTCCAGTTAGACAATACTATTACATGCCTTCAAATAAAGACTGAGCAAAGATGGTCAGAAATCAATACAAAATTCTAGTTACTATGGTTTTGGTATAGGCAGTATCTGTTAGGCCCTGTGCAATGATGATGTGATCAACACTTAGAAAATTAGACAGTTAACCTTAGTTTTCAGTGTTTGCAACTGTCTAGGGTCCAGACAAAATCTTTTAAAGCAACAGGTTCAGTATAGTAGCCGTATCATGACCAAAGCACAAAGTATGAAGTGCATCAAATAATAGCAGAGTTAGCAGGTGAAGGCGGTACAAACTTGGCAAGCTACTAAGTGCATTATAACATGTGTTAGCAGGTCCCAGAAGAGTGAAATGCTATACGCTAGGGGCCAGAAGAATTGTTAACATGCTTTTTTTAGGAGGGAGTTTAAAATTCTAATTGGCACCGATGGAGTTGAAGCCTTAAAATTCTAATTGAAACCTTGTTCCATTCTCCACTCTCTTTTTTTGCCAAAAAAAGAAAAATAGAGATAGGAAATGTCAGTAGACACAGTTCATAAGCACAAAATCATCATACTGAAATTAGTATGACATTTAAACCAGAAAATAACAAAGAATAAAATGGTAGAAGGAGCTTTCGTTGATAAGGCTTCTAATGGGAGGGAGCAGAGACCCTTTCACAAAAGAATAATTTTTTACCATTCACCCATGAACAATACAAACAAAGTTTAAATTTCAAAAGAAGCCTCAAGAAGATGCCACTGTATCATACATGCCATCTAGGAAAGTAAAAACCAACAATTTAGGCAAAACCAGAAGAACCAGCTTAAATAAATCAGGCACCCAAGAAGAGAAAATTGCAAAATACAAGCTTAATCGGTAGAATCATTGACAAGGATACAAGATTCAACCAAAATGAATACGACAATATAAAGCATCTAGGACTACCGAAAGAAAGAAAGAAAGATGTCAAAGCACCAAAATGCAACAATTCCTACCTGAAGCAGGAGGTATGGGAGCAGCCACTGGCTGAGGCATACTTCTAAGTGGGGTTGACTCATCTCGAGCCATAGGAGTGATACTTAATTTTCCAGGAGCCTTACTAGATTTTGCCCTTATAGCATATCGTTTATTTTGAAACCAGTTCCAAACCTATAATGAAGTAGACAGATAAGAAAAAGAAGCAAGAAGATATTTTTGTAACTCAAAAAAAGTACAGGTGTTACATTCATACTTGCTTCATCTGCACAGTAATCTTTCCTCTACGGTCAGGAGATTCACTACAACCAAGACAAAAGGAAATGATAAGATCAATCCGCTGCCCACTTTCATGGGCAGAATAAATAATATTTAAACACTTTGCTGTAATCAAGTAATCATAAATACATAGCACACCTGAACTTCTCTGCAAGAGCTGTGAGAACATCACGTGCTGGCATAGCATTGTTATGCTCTTGCAAAATTGCTTCCATTTCTGCAACCTGTACAGATATTGTTTGCAGAAAATATACGACCAGAATCCAAACACCTAGTTAATCCCATCATAAATTTGAGTGTATGTACATATGGCATCGTAGAGAAAAATACACAGAACAAAATTTAAATAATAACCATGATTTGCACTAATTTACACACGGAACCATACTAAAACTTTCACCTATATAGCATTTACAGATGTCTGAATATTGATGGTCTTGAAAAATGTTTGGAAGTAAGTACATTTACATGTGCACCTAAGACAACCAATGTAGGTCTGCGATAGCAACCTGAAAGCTCAATGTTTGGCATGATAGTGCAAGCAGTCATCTAAAGTGTATCCACACACACGTTACTAGTTCATTCAACAAAGAAAAGTTAGAGCTCATTTATCCTGGCGGCCATTCTATTTGCCATAGCCAATAGGCCAAAAAAATAACTGAAGCAATGCAGTCCCCATCACAGGAAACAGCGTGCATAGGGTATATATTTTAAGGGGGTGAAAAGGAAAAGTGATACACTGAAATAACTTTGGATCACACCCAAACCAAGCTTAGATTTTTCTGACCTTTGTCAATTGTCAAAGGTGCTTAACAGAGGACTGACAGTGAGTATGCAAGAGAGCAAAAGTAAACCAAGAGAGATATAGCAAAAGTAGAGAGCTGACAGTGAGGCGTCATTTTGACACAGAAAATAGTATGGAAACTATACAAGGAATCACCCAATCCTTTGTTTGGATGTAGCATAATTAATTAAGAAAGGAAGCCAAGGGAATGAGATTTTCCCCTAGGCATTTTCCTCGCTTTTAGTTCACTCCAAAAGCCCATGGAAAATGCAGAGATAGCAAATTTTATTTATGAACTTCCATGTTTGTCCGCTAAAAATAAAAGGACTCAAGTAAAGGAGAAAAAATCAAATAGTAAAATTCTATAAAAAATTCCTTTTCTTTCTATTGCATGGTGCTCCCAAACATGCATTACCAATTATTTACTTCTCAAGTGGCAGGCAATCCAAACAAAGGAATAATTGTCACATAGTGGTACCCTTTCTCTGGTCTATCTCATGGACTAATGCTTAATGCATTAATACTATAGTAGTCCTTTCCATTCCATCACATATCATTCAACAAAATGACATAAAACCGTTGACAAAAAGAAAAAAAGGAAACAAAAGAAAAGAAATAAAACCTGACTGGTGAGAAACCAAGGTTCATGTTTGTATTTCTCCAAAAGAATCAATAGAATCTTGCTTTAAGCAATTAAGGAAATCTTAATTATCTTCCTTACAGCAATTCGAGTGAGGTTAGTCCTCTATTTAGACCCTATTGCAGGCAGCGGAATGACAATATTTTAAGGGAAGAAATAAAAGGCAATCATATGTAAGTTCTCCAATGCTAGTGTGGGTTTTCATTTCTGTTACAGAAGAAAGTTTAGCTAAATACCAAATTGGGTAAGAGAAGAAAGACAGCATTGTAAGGTTTGAGATCCACAGTACAAACACTCTATGCTGTGAATAAATAAATTTGGGCAATAGATTAAGGTATTGATCGCTTGTTACCAGGCAAGCCATCACGGGAAACCATCTGCACCAGAGGAGCAGAGTATAACAAGTCATTCAAGGTTCAGATGAGGCTGGTGTCCATTTGTTTTGGACGAAAATGTCAACAAGTTTGCAAATTGGATAAGAAAATAAGCATTGCAATCTAACACGTTAAGATTCACAAAGCGAGAAAACTAAGTTGTGAATAATGAAATGTGTGTAACATAAAAGGCATTCATCCATGACTTGGAACATGCCGTTGGGAAAATCATCAGAGCCGGTAAATGTACAGTAGCTTCCACTTTAGTTTTTATTTTGTACTAGTTACATATGTCATTGTGGAGTCTATGAATATACGGTATTTAACATAAATAAACCATGTTTTGCAGTCAAATGACTGGACATGGCAACCGTCCAAGGGGCATAATGCTGCTACTGAACAGACTCAACACAGAAATGCATACTCAGGGGTGGCTTTTGCATATCTTAGGGTTCAGGTTAGTGAAAAGAAATTTGGACCCAGCACCTAACTTGTCCAATAAGATAAAACTAAAATTTTCCTTTATCATGAGGAAGATAAACAAAGATGAATAATAAATATGTTTAATTAGAACTGCTTCAGCCGGAAACTCAACTGAGTTAATGGTAAGGACTTCGGGAGGTCCAGAGCTACAGATAACATTGTAAGCAAGGAGACTTGTATCGCAGAAAACTTGGCAGCACCCAGCATTGGTGTAACACCAACACGAATAAATATCTTTTATCCACCAATACACAGCACGCATGCATGCTAGGAATCCTACAGAACCATCTAAGGCAAAATATAAGGCGCAATTTGAACAAGCTAAAGCCGATCTCGTGAGAAAAAGAGTGGATTGAAATAAACGATAAGTAGCACCATTCAAGATTCGACGCAAGAAACAGAGCGGTCCATGTCCAGCGAAGCATAAAAATAACAAGAAAAATAAAATCTCTCGAGTCTTAATTGAATGAAACAGAAGACAAATAAAAGAATTGTGAGCCCCAAAATTAAAACAGATATTAACACAGGCTGACTTCATAAAAACAGAAAAAAAAAAATCGAAAATTGGCCTCTGAAAACGCATTCATTAAACACAGCAATGGAACTAATCACACAGAAATTTCAACAAAAAACAGCTAAATCAAGCTCAAAAGTAAGTTCGCACGACTCATGCACCTGGTTCACACAAAAATAACAAATTTCAATCGAAACTTAAATAGACGAATACCTCAGCCTGAGTAAAGCGGAAGGCAGGGCCTCCGTTGCTGGGTGGCCTACCCATGACTCCTTTTCCCCTACGATTTCGGTGAAGCAACGGGAAACGAAGCGATCATATAAAGAGAACAAGAAAAATCAGATACAAACTGCTTTGTTGAGCACGAGCAGCTAATGCAAGAGGGAAAATGCAAAAGTGCCTATCGAACTAATTTGAAAACGGTTAGGAATTTTAGATAACAGCGGGGAAAAGGGTAAGAAGGGCGTTAGGATTCAAACCTTGTGATGTTGCGAAGAGGAGAGGAGTGAGGCGGGTGACAGGTACGATGATCAGACGCAGGATGGTCTAATCCAAGGCCCACTTGCGCGAATGGGATTTCTTATTTTATACATCCCTATCTCTTTCTCAATCAATCTGTGGACCCAAAAATTATGGTGTGTCTATCTTTCACACTTCCTTTATACATTATTCCCATTTTCCCAACCAATTAGATTTCTTATAACATGATGGACAAAAATTCGAATCGTTACTGCAAAAAAAAGTTTGGTTTTTGACACTGTCTCACACAGAATTTCGTGTATTTAACATAAAAAAGCATTCTTTTTTCATCATAGAATTTGATCTATCAACCATGTTTCAAGAAAAACTCAAGAAAAACTAAGTCATTCTCACTTAACCAACTCAATAAACTCGAATGAAAGTTGGGGATAGCTTTTTCTTTTTCATTCAACCACTATTTATGCTGGTCCATGCAACAAGACTCTGTATCCCTTTCGAGTGGTTACCCAATTCAGTGGAACAAGCATTTGGTAAGTGCCTTATGCATCCCATCTGTGATTAATTTAATTATTGATACCCCTTCAATTTCTATTAGGCCTGATCAGTTAGTCTGGGATGGGAGCTCCAAGGCAGTTTCGCACAGTTTCGAAAAAGCAAACAACTTCTCTTCATTTGAAAATTGTTTTCACCAAGCAATTCCTCACTTGAGACATCCTGAAATGGCATCGCATTACTATATCTGGAACGTGCTTGTTTGGAATCATATCCGCACTGCATGGACTCAATCCCGAGCAAAGAGCCACGCTAGCTAGAGTCAGCATAGGTGCCCACGATAGAGTCAGCAAATGGCTTTTTTTACCCGCATGCTATGCCAAAAAAAAAAAATCAAGATGCTACCATATCAAAAGTATTTACTAGTATGCTATATTTAAAATCGTTCCTGTAAAGAACGATTTTCAAATCGTACATAAGTCACTCTTAGAAAGAAAACAGTGAGGAAAATGTTTGAATATTCTAGGGTACCGAAAAGGTGACCCTACCATTGTCTCTTATAGATAAACCCAATGTGGGTAAAAGGAATGATACAATCAGGACCCTACACGTGTACACAGGATATTATACAGAATCATAAAAAGGGTGTATATTGTCTATTTATTTATTTCCTCTAACATTCCCCCTCAAACGAGAGGGTGTCCTGAACAGCCCGAGTTTGTCTCTATGATGAAGAAATTGCGTGTGCGTGAGGGCCTTAGTGAGACAGTCAGCAACTTGAAGAGGAGATGAAATGTGTTGAATATTAAGAAAACGTGATTGAATCATATCTCGTATGAAATGAAGATCAATGTCAATGTGCTTGCTGCAAGAATGCTGAATTGGATTTGCTGCAAGTGCTTTGGCACTGAGGTTGTCGCACCAGATCATAGCTGGTTCTTTTAGGAACAATCCGAGCTCAGACAGTAGTGAATGTATCCATTTTAGTTCAGCAGCTCCGTCGGCCAAGGCTCGGTATTCAGACTCTGTGCTTGATCGGGACACTACACGTTGCTTTCGAGAGGCCCAAGAGATCAGAGTGTCTCCCAAGTAGACACATAAACCAGCCATAGACTTTCTATCATCCACATCTGTAGCCCAATCTGCATCGGTGAATGCAGTTAATTGAAGTGAAGAAAAAGGTTTGATATGCAGCCCATAATGATATTTTCCTTTGAGATATCTAAGAATCCGTTTCACCCCCTGAAAATGTATGTCAGTTGGATTAGACAAAAACTGACTAAGCTTGTTAACCGAGTAGGCTATGTCTGGTCTGGTTGTAGTAAGATATTGGAGGGATCCGATGGCTCTTCGATAAAGTGAGGGATCCTTCATTAAGTCACCGTCAGTCTTGGAGAAGATCCGTCCAGTGACCATGGGGGTTGGAACAGGAGCACAGTCAAGCATATTGAATTTCTTCAAAATATCTAAGGTGTATTTTCCTTGATTCAAATACAAGCCGGAGGAGTCTCGAAAAATTTCAATGCCAAGAAAAAAATAGAGCGGTCCAAGGTCCTTTAATGAGAACAGAGAGTTCAACCTTGCAACAAATTGTTTTAAGTAAACAGGATTATTCCCGGTAATGAGAATATCATCAACATATATGAGAATAAATACCATGATCCCCTGTTGTCGAAGATAAAACAGTGACACATCACTGCGAGCATTCTGAAAACCCCAACTGAGCAAGGTGAGTTTCAACCGATCGTACCACCCACGAGGAGCTTGTTTGAGCCCATAAATCGCTTTCATAAGCTTGCATATGTGAGTCGGTCGTTTTGGATCTTGAAATCCCTCAGGCTGTCGCATATAAACATCCTCTTGAAGGTATCCATTCAGAAACGCATTGTTTACATCAAGCTGTCGAATCTCCCAGTTAAATGTTACAGCGATTGTAAGAACAACGCGTACCGTGGTCGGCTTGATGACCGGACTGAAAGTCTCACCGTAATCGATCCCTGGAGATTGTTGAAAACCTTTAGCAACGAGGCGAGCTTTTGGTTTAAGAATGGACCCATCGGCGTTGAATTTAGTCTTGAAGACCCATTTGCAATCCACAAGTTTCTGACTCCCATTGTAAGGAACAAGGACCCAAGTTTGATTGCGCCGCAAAGCTTCGAACTCGTCGACCATGGCTCGTTTCCAGTAGGGAGAATTCAAGGCTTCGTGAGTGGTGCGTGGTTCGGCAAGAGAGGAAAGAGATGCTGGGTCTTCATGTGCGAGGAGACCAATGAAAGGATATTTTGGTTTGTGAATCCCATCCTTAGCTCTCGTAACCATAGGATGAGTGTTCAGTGGAGGCAAGGTTTCAAGGGAGACAGAGACTTGGTCCGTCGGTTGCAAAATAGGACTTGAACTTGGACCAGGAGAAGATGACTCACTATTGGACGAAAATGGAGTGGAGTCAGCATGAGAAAGTTGTGGACTTGGTGACCTCGGCGGGCTGTCAAGTGGGCTTAAGTCCACTATTGGGCTTGAGTCCGGGCACATCTCGTCTCTGGTGCGGGGAACTAATGGTGGCTGAGTATTGGGCTCAAGAGACTCGTGAACTTGGGCTTTGGATGAGGTAATGATGAATGGGAGTAGGCCGTCATTATCTATGGATGCAGCTCTTTTATTAAGAAAACCTGTAACACATGGAAATAAGAATGGGTCAAAGACTACATGTCTAGATATAAAGATACGACCTGTAGCACTAAGGCACTTGTATCCCTTGTGTTGAGACGCAGGCCCAAGATAAACACAGCGTTGGCTGTGAAATTGAAATTTATTAGCATTGTAGGGTCTGAAGCACGGGTAACAAGCACAGCCAAAAGGCTGAAGAGCTTTATAATCTGGTTCAGTCTTGGTGAGATGAAAAAGAGGCGTAGAGTCACCAAGAGTTGGAGTGGGTAGTCGGTTAATTAAATATACAGCAACTTGGAAGGCATCAACCCAGTAGGTGAGAGGAAGATGAGCTTGGGCCAATAGAGTCAGGCCCATTTCAACAATGTGTCTGTGCTTACGTTCTGCCCTTCCATTTTGTGGAGAAGTATAGGGGCAAGTAAACCTCATTTCAACAATGGTTTATATTCTGTACCATTATCACATTGAAGAGCCTTAATTTTAGCATTAAACTTGTTTTCAACCTGCGCTTTAAACATTTTAAAGGCATTGATAGCTTCACCCTTATGTTTCAGAGGAAAGAACCACGTATATCTGTTGTAATCATCAATAAAATGGATATAGAAACGATGACCATGTTCAGATTGCACCGGTGAAGGACCCCAAAGATCAGTGTGAACCAGTTCAAGAGGAAAGGATGCATGAGACATAGACTTTGAAAATGGTAGCTGTTTAGATTTACCGAACTGACAGGCTTCACAAATAAACTCAGTTCTACACTGAGCTTTAACATTACATTTATCTAGAATAAGTTTCAGGATTCTAAAACTAGGATGTCCTAACTTGTAATGCCACTTGAGAATTTCATCACGACCAAGAGATGGTGAAGTAGCTGCTATGAAGACCTTCGCTGGAGCCAGATTACGCACGGGATACATTCCCTGATTTGTCGTCCCTCGGACCAGTACCTCCCCTGTTTTCTTGGCCTTCACAGTACATGAATCATCAGAGAAATTAACATCAACACCATTGTCTTTAGCCAGTTTATGAACACTGATCAATTGTTTAGTAGCAGATGGGACGATTAAAATATCATTCAAGTGTAAGGAAGTATTAGGAGCAGATAAAGTAGCAGATCCAATACCAGCAACAGGGGCCTTCTCACCAGTACAAGTGTAGAGATCAATCTTACCTACTGGAAGATAAGAGTCCAGCTGATTCGGGTTCGGGGTAACATGATAGGTAGCACCGCTATCCATGTACCAAGAAGGATCCACCACAGTTTGTGGAGATGCATAGTGTGCTTGAGGAGGTGCTCCATTATAGTTCCCAAGATTTCTACTAAAATCAGATGAAGGGAAAACTCGGTCAGATCGATTATAGCATTGATTAAAATAGTGACCATACCGATCACAGTTATGACAATAGGGCCGGTTGTCATAGTTGCTGCCATAGTTCCCCCTGCTGTAATATCCCCCTTGGCGACCTCTGGAGCGTCAACCACGGCCACGAGACCCATGCCAGGGAGAGCCTCGACTCGAATCAGTGTGGCGATTTTCATGAGGGCCGTGTGTAACAACATTGGCCATAGGTTGAATTGATAGAGCAGAGAAGTGATTTAGCTGTTCAAGACGAGATTCGAAGGCAAGGAGAGCGGATTGAACAGCTACCCAGGTCAGATCTGGTTGATCTATGAGTTTTACCACTACGGCATTGTACTCACCATCGAGACCATTGAGGGTGTGAAGGATCAGATCTTCAGGCGCAACAGGGGCGCCGGCGAGCTGGAGTTGATCGGCGAGATTCTTCAGTTTTGCCAAATATTCGGTCATTTTCAGTCCGTTTTTCCGAGTGTTGTGTAGTTCCATCTTGAATACCATCACTCGAGACTTGAGGGACGCACAGGTGAGTTCACGGGCTCCATTCCACAGCTCACGAGCGGTTTTACAGTGAAGGAGTTGAGCACCGACGTCCACCGTCATTGTGTTGCGGAGCCATCCAACGAGCATGCGGTCTGTGGTGTGCCATTCTTCATATGCTGGATTTGAGACAGATTTACCTTCTTCAGTAATGAGTCGCACTGGAGTCGTATCTTCTCCAATAATATGATGTTCAAGTTGGTTTCCTTCAATCAGAGGAAGGACCACGGACTCCCAGATGAGGTAATTTTCTCTATCCAACTTGATAGAGGAGGTTTGACTGGACGAATGAAATAAGGAATATGTCTTAGCTGAAGAAGACGACGCATTGGAAGGCGAGGTGGCTGAGGATGTCGACATGACGGCTAGGGCTCTGGTACCAAGAAAGAAAACAGTGAGGAAAATGTTTGAATATTCTAGGGTACCGAAAAGGTGACCCTACCATTGTCTCTTATAGATAAACCCAATGTGGGTAAAAGGAATGATACAATCAGGACCCTACACGTGTACACAGGATATTATACAGAATCATAAAAAGGGTGTATATTGTCTATTTATTTATTTCCTCTAACACTCTTACTAAGAACGATTTATATATTATTTAACAGGAAGTGAAATCATTATTCGCTTGAATGATTTCACTTTTTGATATCTTATTTTTTTGAAATCAAAAAATGAATTTGTTCAGGTAAAAAATGATTTCACTTTCTGACTACAATATTCTCACATGCAAATTTCTCTACAATTTCCTTCCCAATACAAATATTCACTTCTCTCACTTGTCAATTAAACTTATCCTCCCCATGCAAACCCGTAGAGCTACAACAAATGTGCATGCTTTTATATATTCTATTTCTTCAACTTTGGTTTCTTGCTTCATCATCTTTCATCCTAAAGTTCACTCTTCTTTTCTTCCTCTATGTGGTTTATTTCCTCCACCTTCATTATTCTTTTACTTTACTTTGTTATTTCTTCACTCTTACTTCCAAACACTTGACAAGCTCTTTTACTGCTGTTGTGGGTATGTTGTTTCTCTCCTCTCTCTCTCTCTTTAAATTTGTAACTGTAATATAGAATTTTATTTTTATCCCTACTACCTTTGATGAGCTAATATTCTATTATTCTAATTTTTAGGAGATAAGTGGTGGGTTCAACGATATGAAATATTTATACTTTTTTTAAGTTAGGTACCTCTCATTTTTACAGTAAAATTATCATCTGCTATATTGTTCTAAGATGTTAAGATTTTGATATAAGCTCTAATCTTTTCTAGGTACATTCATATTATTTTTTTTCTTATAAAAGTATACTTCTTCAAAAGTTTAAATTTGATAAGATAAAACTGACGAATAATTATACATATACCTTAAATATCAAATCTATGGTATATATAATAAGTAGGAAGTTGGCCAAAAAAAAAAGAAAGTTTGCTACACACATCAAGTGAACTATTGCTTTCATATATTTTTTTAGGTAAAAATAGAGTGTAAGTAACGAAAAATTGAAATGAATGAAAGACACTCATAAATTCATTTTCTTCATTTTGCCTTTTCCTTGGTATTTGCTATTTTGCATTTTTGAATTGGTGATGACATATCATGACATTAGTGATTTGAATCAAAGGTCTTTCTACTCATAACTATATTGGGGGGAATAGGATTGACGAATAAACATGACCAATTCTTTTAAACTAGAATGATCATAACTTCCCATATTTACTTGGATATTTTTGGGAAAAAAATTAGAGAAGAGATCTTTATTTTGGAACCTTTCATTTTAACCCAATTATTTTGGCCCAAAAATTTTAATCCAATTAAATTTTTAGTTTCATGCAATAAATTGATATTTATTAAATTATGTTTGACAAAGATAATGAAATAATAAATATGTATTATAAGGTATAAATAATATATGTATACCAAAAATTAAAAAATTCCATGATTTGTTATTTATTAAAATAATATCAAAAGAAAGAATTTTAACACTAAAAAGATTTCAGTTTGGCATATTCTATATAGTGCAAACAATATATTAATTAATAATTAATATAAATAAAATTATAGAAATAGTGGAAGAAACAAGAGGGAAAAAAATCTCTATTTCTTAAAAAAAATTTATTTTAATTACAAACAAATAATCTGCAAACAACTAAGATAGAGCAAATAAACCATAGGGAGAATAAAGAAGAAGAGTGAATTTCAGGATAAAAGAAGATGAAACAAAATCAAAGTTGAAGAAGTAGAATATACAGAAGCATGAACATTTGTTGTAACTTTTGTATGGAGAGGATGAATTGAGTTGACAAGTAAGAGAAGTGAATATTTGCATTAGGAAGGAAATTGTAAAGAGATTCGCATACAAGAATATTGCAATTAAAAAGTGAAATCGTTCTTTGCGTCAACAAGTTTACTTTTTGATTTAGAAAAAATAAAATGTCAATAACGATTTCATTTTTTGTTTAGGTAACATACAAATTTTTCTTGGTAAGGCTTACTTTTATACACTTTGAAAATTATTCTTACCAAAAACAATTTTAAGTATAGTATACTGGCAAATACTTTTAAAATTTTAGCATTTTGGTTTTTTTTTTTAACTGTGTATAGCAAGCCGTTAGCAAATCTATGTTCAGCAAGAATATAATATATATACACACACTCTTTTGATCTTTAATATGAAATCCAACTAACTAATTTGAGTAGATTAAAAATATTAGTTAAATTAGTTAATATGATATGTATTTTTTCTAAAACACTCTAAGTATTTTCTTAATTTTCTTCCTCTCTCCTACTTGATTATTATTAAAAGAATATCAATAGAGTTAATTTTAAAAAATTGACAAAATGTAAAATATGTCTCATATGTAGAATTAATATTAACTCTTTAATTAGTTCTTATATTATGAATTCGAAGGGTATATTTATATAATCTTTCAAAAAGTACGGATAGTCAGCTTCTTATTCATACCCAGGTTATAAAATTACCAGCTTCATCATCATAATCATCACTTTTCTCTGCGAGTACGGTTTTTTTTTTTATGCTGGTTAAAAAAAAAAGGGATTTTTTTTATTTTTTATTTTTCATTTTGGCCTGAAACTCAAACGAGTAGAGGGATTGACAGAGCTGGGTTATTTTTTGGGAAAATTGCAAATAAAGACTCCTAATATATAAAATGGCAATCAGGACCCTGAATTTGAGAAATTGCTCACAAGGACCCGGTCCCAATTTGCAATTATGAAATCATGACCAAATTACTAAAATACCCCTCTTTATTTTTTTTAAAAAAAAACACCACTACCTCGCCGAAATCCAGAGCTCCGGCCGCTGGAGCTCAGATGCCGGCAGCCGGATTCCGGCCATTGCCGGCAGCCTTCCTTTGGTTTTTTTTTTGCAACTGTTTTTTTTTTAAATAGGGGAAAGTGAGGTTGGGGGGATTTGATCCCCCAACCTAATGCTTTCCAAAATTAGGAATGATCATCCAGCCAACAAATTTTTGCTAACATTATAATACAAAAAAAAATATAAGTTAACTCATTTACTTTTGTTCCAGGTGATAACAACAATACATTTAGAAATAACAAGTTCTGATTATAAAATAACACGTCTGGAATGAAAATTTAACAATATGTTTTTTTTATAACAACAAATTTTGTTGCAGGTGATAATAACAATACATTTGAAAATAACAAGTTTTGATTATAAAATAACAAGTCTGGGATTAAAATTTAACAACATGTTTTTTTTATAACAACATACTTTGTTTCAGATGATAACAACAATACATTTGGAAATAACAAGTTCTGATTATAAAATAACTAATTTGAAATTAAAATTTAATAGCACCTTTTTTTTTATATATAACAACATATTTTATTCCAAGTGATAACAACAATACATTTGAAAATAACAAGTTCTGATTATAAAATAAGAAATCTGGAATTAAAATTTAACAACACGTTTTTTTATAACAATTAATTATTTTATACTTTTGAAAAATAAATTATTTATAACTTATAAAAATTATTTTTAATCTATTTAATTTGCTAAAAAATAATTTTTATCTCCAATTTATAATCAGAACTTGAAGTGTAATTTATTATAGATTAAAAATACTTTTTTATTGTTCAAATTTATAAATAAAATTTAGGGAAAATGACAACACACTTTTTTTATTTTTTTTAAAAAAATTTTAATCTATATATCTATACAACTCATTATAAATCAAACTACTTCTTATAAATTATAAATAGTACAATTTATTGTAGATTAAAAATACTTTTTGATTGCTTAAATTTATAAATGAAATTTATCTCTAATTTATAATTAAAAATACTATTTTATTCTTTAAATATAAAAACTATTTTTAATATTTAAAGAATGAAATAATAAATTATACTATAATATTTAAATACTTAATAAT